TCTCATCAATCAGTGTGTCATCACTGGATGCACTGATGATGATGGGGCAGGCCGGAGGCCCGGCCGCCCGGCGCGCGGGATGCAAATCGCGCGGAGACAGGCGGCGTCAGGAGACACCTCTGACACCGCCTCTGACCGGCGGCAGATCACAACAGTACTGTACCTGTACGTGCGATATGCACGCTTCTACAGATGTTCATGGGTCCAGCACGCCGTTAATTCGGCCGGTCAGGCGGGCCGGGGATAGGGCAGTTACTACTAGCTCACTGTCGCGGGCGGCGTGGGCGAGAAGAAGATTCCGCCGCGGCGCGCGCGCGGGATGGACCCCCGCGCCGCGCCGGTTTTGACTCGCTCTGCCAGACTGCCACCGGCAAGTCAGGCGCCCAACGCAACGGACCCGGCCCCGGGGCCTGTGCCGCGCTGCGCTGCCGTCGGTTTGCTTCCCAGCCATGTTTCGCCTCGCCTAAAGTTCGGCAGCCACATACAAATGGCCGATGCGGCCGCCACAGTTTCTGCATGCACTATTCGTGGCGGGTGTGGCGGCCAAAAGCTCGCCACAAACTGTGGTGGGGACGCTGCTGTGGTGGCAGGCTTCGGCCGCTACCAAACAGGCTAGTCTAATAAGGGAAGGTTTTCACCTGCAAAATTCAGCACGACAGGAGGAGAGGTACAAAAGGACGCCTTCAAGAAGGCAAATGGCGCCCACGGACGCCGCGTCGTCAAGCTTTCGCCCGACCTCATGCAGCCTCCACGCCGCGGAGACCCAACCCTACCAAAGAGGTAGGATGCGCCGAGAGATCAGCAGCAGCTCCCCGGGACGCCGCTTAAAGGAACGCCGACCAAGAGAAGCGCCGGGAGAAGCCCGACGAAGAGTCCACCCCCGCGGAATCGGCAAAACCACCAGCCAAGCAGCAGCAGCTCCGACCAACTCCCGCCACGGATTAGCCCGAGAAGGGGAAGGCAGATGACGAGGAGAAGAGGGCGGATCAAGAAGCCCGGTCGCCCAAACCCCACCAACATCCCAACCCCCGCCAAGCCCACGCCAGATGGGGACTACAGCAGCCTCCGTGACCGATCTCATCACTGTCAGACGCCTGCTCCCTAGCCCTCCACGGGCTGAGCACCGCAGCCTCACGAAGTCCGGGAGCAGGTGCAAAGATATCGAGACGCACAGCAGGCAGCCACGCAGACCACACAAAGACACACCGCCGGCCGCACCCGCACCACCACCCGCCACCAAGAGGTCCACCGCCACATCCCAAGCTGGAAGAGCCGAAATCAGTAGCTGACAGCATGGCGGTCATTGTCGGCCGCCACGGGCGCCATGAAATAACAGCCCGGCCAGCCATCCACCGCAGCAGCCCCGGCCGCCCCGCTTGCCCTCCTGGCGCGAGGGCGACGGATCCGGCCAAGAGGACACCGGATCCAGTCAAGAGGACGACGGATCCGTACGTGCTCCCTAGGCCGAGAACTGCCGGTAGCCGCCGCCCTGTGCAGTCACGGGTGTTTCTCCGGCCACAAGGAGAGAGAGAGGGGTGGGGAAGAAGAGCGAGGGCTCTAGCCACCGCCGCCCTTGCCTTTTCTCCGGTTTGCCGGCGTCCAGCTCTGGCGGCGGCCGGGCAATTGCAGCGCACGGGAGAGCTTGTGGTGGACGGAGGCGCCGCCGCCCGAGTCGCCTGTAGAGGACGACGCGGGGGCCTAGGTCAAATCACACCTAAATCAATGGAAAGCCCAAAATTGAATACATCTGGTACATCAGTTTCGTTATGTATTTAGATATAACGTATGTCTATATACATAGCAAAATATATATATCAAGTCAAAGCGACTTATAATTTGGAAAGAAGGGAGTATTTTTTAAGCCGGAGCTTTAGGGCCTGTTTGGCAAATCGATCCAGCTCTAATATGAAATCCATACACAATTTGAAGCTTGTATCATTTCAGAAGTGATTTGTTTACACAGCTGCTCCTCCCATTTTCTCTTCCATGTTCACCACCAGAGAACCGGCGAACATCAGGTATGCCTCATCTCTGATCGCGCGCATCTCCATGGCTGCATCCCGTATCGGCATCCGCTCTTTGGGCTGGTGTTTTGAGCAGGACAAACCGAGCCGAATGACCGTAAGCAAACACTCCTGAATCCTATTTCTTGTGATGCTGTTGTCGTCGGCGTCAGGGTGTACCCATAGATTCGGGTCCGCTATCTCCAATATCCTGTCAGGAAAACCAGCCTCTGAAAACCTGTGGAGGTCCAACGAGTCTCCGAACACATCATCCGTGGGGCTCCGTCCTGTGAACATCTCAAGCAGCAATATGCCTAGGCTGTAAACGTCACCGAGGATGGAGACCGCACAGCCTTCCCCGTACTCTGCAAATATTTTGTAAGCCAGTCAGATCGATCATCATGTCAAAGTTGTCCAAGATGAAAAGATAATACTGTAAGAAATAAGCAGCAAAACAAAAGACAGCAGTTTCAGTTGATCAGTTACCTGGAGCGACGTAGCCAACGGAGCCTCTTATCCCAGCTACGCTGTTTGAATTTGGATAGGCTTTGCACGCACTTTCAGACAAGATTCTGGATATGCCGAAATCTCCAACACGAGCACTCATGTCTTCGGCGAGAAGAATGTTGCTTGGCTTGAGATCGCAGTGGACGATCGGTGGCCGACAATGGTTATGAAGATAGTCCAGGGCATCCATTATGTCGACAGCAATGTCTAACCTTTGGGTTAGGCTTAGCGTGTTCTTGGGCTCATTAGATTTTGGATGAAGCCAAGAACTCAAGTTACCGTTGGGCATAAACTCGAATACCAAAGCTTTGAACTCTTGGCCTTGGCGATCGATGCTTGAGCAGCACGTGATGATCTTTATGAGACAACGGTGGCGCACGCTTCGGAGTGCCTCGCATTCAGCCAAGAAGCTTCTTGTGGATCCAGACTGTTCAAGGTTGAACACCTTTACGGCGGCTATAGTTCCCTCATCAATGAAAGCGCATTTGTAGACTGTGCCATAGCTGCCTTTTCCAAGCAAATTGGCATCTGAAAATCCCCTTGTTCCGTCTGACAGTTCCTTGTAAGAAACCCTTTCGTATTGTTCTCCACTTATTACTGGGGCTAGGGGATGGCTTCTCTTCTGTCTTTGCTTAGAGTTTTTGTAGATGAACTGAATAACTGCAGTAAATAATGATAAGAACAAGAGTGCACCCATTGTTGCCAGAGCTATTTTATCATACTTCAACCCCCTCTTACTCTTGTTGTTCTTTCTCACAACAGACATGGGGCATGGATCTAAGCGAAGCTGAGGTATTCCACCACAAAGGTTTTTGTTTCCAGCAATCGATAAGTAAGACAAGTTTCTAAAGGAACCTTCTTTCGGCACTTCACCTTGCAGATCATTGAAGGACAAATCCAGCTTAGATAGCGATGTCAGGTTCTGCAGATCAGTTGGGATGAGCCCGGACAAGTTGTTGTGTGCTAGATACAGCTGCTGCAGGCTGTGTATGTCACCAAGGGCATCAGGGATCACACCAGAAAACCTGTTCATGGTCAGGTTCAACACGCGGAGACCCTTGATGTCACCTAGAGGCTGAGGTATGCTTCCCTGGAACGAGTTACTGTCCAGTAAGAGTACCTCCAGAACTATGCAATTTCTGATCGTTGTCGGTATCTGGCCAGACAACTGGTTTCCTGACAAGCTCAACGTGTTGAGGTTAGCCAACCTTCCAACGTCGAAAGGAAGTGGCCCGGAGAGGGAGTTTTGTGATAAGTTCAGGAGCAACGAAAGAGACTGCAGTTGGAATATTTCTTCAGGAATCGAACCGTTCAGGTAATTGCTTGAAAGATCAAGACTGATGAGGTCGCTAAGCTTTCCAAGACTCCTTGGGATTGATCCTCCCAGGTTGTTGCTGCTCGCCAATAGTTTAAGGAGCCTGGTGAGATTTCCCACTGATGATGGAACAAGGCCCGACAGATTATTGTTGTCCAGGTGTAGCTCCGTCAGGTTCACCAGCTTCCCAATGCTATCTGGAATTACTCCTGAGATGTCAGTATTCACCAGAATAAGTACTTTGAGACCGACCAGATTTCCGATCTCTGAGGGGATGCTGCCAGAGATCCCAAGGTCTTCTAGGTAAAGGTACTCAAGTGTTTTCGAGAGGTTAGCAACTGAAACAGGAAGATCTCCAGTGAAATTGTTGTCACCCAGATCTAAAACCTCTAGCTCGCTGCAGTTGGCCAATGACTCGATGAACTCCCACCCTTCCATCTTCTTCCCTGCTTCAAGCATGTTACCGTCCAGTTGCAGATTCCACAGATACTGCAGCCTCCCAAGATCGCGAGGCACGAAGCCGCTGAATCCGTTGCTCGACAGCTCGAGTTCTCCGAGCTGAGTGAGATTGCAGATGGAGGAAGGGATCGCCCCACTGAACTGGTTTTCGAACAACGCCAGAAACTTCAACTGAGGGAGCTGCGCGTGGATCTCGGCAGGGATGCCTCCGTGCAGCGTGTTCTGTCCGACGTCGAGGCTCGCCAGCGACGACACGTTGTACAGCGACGGCGGGAGCTCGCCGCGCAGGCGGTTGTCGCAGAGGTCGACGTACTCGAGGCGCGCCATGCTGCTGTTGGATCCTAACGACAGTTAGAACGTCGTGGAACGTCGTGCTCGCCGGCGACGTGGTGACCGCGCTTACCACTTAACAGATTGAAAGCCAGAGAACACAAAACAGATAGATTCGATATGAATTTGCTGCACCCCCTCCGCAGCCTCCCATGTCATCTTTATTGATATATATATAGCCATGAGACTCCCACGCCGAGTCGCACAGGAACGGGACACCGTTTCCATTGCGATCCCCGTTACATGCGCCTAGAACGCCACGGCGTGAAGGATACAGACTCCGACTCAAGCTAGACATACCCAAGCATGACTTTGGCTACATCTAACTCCAACCACACTAGAACTCTACCAGTATGACATCCTGACCTGACTAATACGAAATTACATGACTTATTTGCAACACTTATAGGCTAACAAATCACCCCCTAAGCTGTTGCACATCAGTGACACCAAGAGCAGTCCGTAGCTCAACAAACTTGACACGACCAAGCGGTTTTGTGAAAATGTCTGCCAACTGACCAGCTGTACCTACATGTTCAACTTCAACCCTGCCTTCCTCAATACACTCACGTATGAAGTGATACCTCGTGTCAATATGTTTACTACGATCATGATGGACTGGATTCCTGCTTAGTGCAATTGCTGACATGTTATCCATCAACAATCTTACTGGTGTCTCTTTCGTTCCAAGTAGATCAGCCATGAGTCGGCTCAACCACACGCCTTGACAGGCCGCTGCCGCTGCTGCCACATACTCCGCTTCACACGATGATAAAGCGACGATCTTTTGTTTCTGAGATTGCCAAGTTACCAAGCTACTGCCAAGAAAGTAGATCACACCAGTAGTGCTTTTCCTATCTTCTGAATCTCCAGCAAAATCACTGTCACTGAAACCTAGCAAGATCGGTTTCAGTTCAGTCCCTCTTTCATAGCTGCATCCATAGCCTGTAGTGCCCTTAACATATCTCAACACTCGTTTGACAGCAGCCCACTGAGCTTTTCCAGGAGCTTCCATGTACCTGCTCACCACTCCAACTGCATAAGCCAGATCTGGTCTCGTATTTACCAGGTACCTAAGACTTCCAATTATACTCCTGTATGCCATCACATTCATAGCTTCTGATTCCTTTCCCTTTGTGAGTTTGAACCGAGGCTCCATTGGAGTGTCAGATGAGTTACAGTGCTCCATACCTGCATTCTCAAGTATCCTGACCGCATAAGCTGCTTGGCTCAATTTTATCCCTCCTTTTCCCTGCTTTACTTCAATTCCCAAGTAATAACTGAGAAGACCGAGGTCACTCATGCTAAATTTCTGCTTCATCTCTGCCTTGAATTGATTAATGTCATCAATCTTTGGCCCTAAGATTATCAGATCATCAACATACACACCCACAATCAGTAAAGAATCCTTGCTACTTCTCTTATACACGGCATTATCCAGCTTACATCTAACAAAACCAAGGGCTGACAGCTCTTTATCAAGCTTGAAATTCCATGCACGCGGTGCTTGCCGCAAGCCATACAGTGCCTTCCTCAATCTCAACACCTTATCTCCTTTGCCAACAATAAAACCTGGAGGCTGATGTACAAAGACAGTTTCAGAGAGTTCTCCATTTAAAAACGCAGACTTAACATCCATATGATGCACCTCCCAACCACCATGTGCTGCTAGAGCCAATAGTACCCTCACTGTTTCTATTCTGGCAACAGGTGCGAAAACCTCGTCAAAATCCACACCATGGCGCTGTGCATAGCCCTTTGCGACCAACCTCGCCTTGTATTTCACAACATTGCCCTCAGGGTCCTTCTTCACCTTGAACACCCATTTGAGACCAATTGCTTTGTGATTCCTTGGAAGCTCACTGACTTCCCAAGTCCTGTTTGCCTCGATTGCTTGCATCTCGGCCTGCATTGCATCTCTCCAACAACTCTCTGATAGAGCATGTTCCACTGAGTTTGGTTCCTCAGCTGCTATGAGACACAAACCACTATACTCTAACTGAAAAGGTACAGTTGAGTCTAGTAAGTCCGGTATTTTGCGATACCGGAGTGGTACTCCCTCTGAATCTTCCTCAGCACCAGTGGGTGGCGTTGCCCACTGAATTTGTGTCTGTACACTGCTTGCCGAAGTTCCTGGAGTGCCAAGAGATGGAGTTGGTGAACTGGGAGCCGAAGCAGCAGAATCGCCCGCAGCCTCAGTACCTGTCTCTGCATTATCTGAATCAGCTGCATTATCTGAATCAGACGCAGTCGCCCCGCCTATTGTCGGATCGACAACAGTAACTTCCTCAGGCCAACTAAACACTGCTTCCTCTGATTCCTGTATATCTTCTGGTGCTGCATCAGTTCCACTCACCCCCCAAATCCAGCTCTTCTTCTCATCGAAGATAACATCCCTCGAAATCATAAGACGTTTCTTCACCGGATCATAAACCCGATAAGCTTTTGAGTGCTGTTCATACCCGAGAAAAATGCCCGGTGTTGTCCTATCTTCGAGCTTGGTCACACCTGGTCCAACCTTCTTTGCATAGGCCACGCAACCAAAGGTTTTTAGATGTCGCACACTAGGTTTCTTGCCATACCAAGCTTCATATGGAGTCACATTATTCAGGCTTTTAGTAGGTGCACGATTCAGCAAATACACGGCTACCATTACTGCTTCACCCCAAAAACGCCCCGGCACACGTTTGGACTTGAGCAGACATCGTGCCATCTCCACTACCGACTGATTTCTCCTCTCAACAACGCCATTTTGCTGTGGTGTATAGGGTGCAGTGGTATTGTGTTTTATGCCAAAAGTACCGCAATAAATTGTAAACACGCCTCAATTAAATTCTCCTCCTCGGTCCGCTCAATGCCCTCGCCTGCACAGATTCCATCTCTGCTGCAGCCTGTATCTTCTTGAAACTCTCAAACGCCTGATCTTTCGTTCTCAAGAGCTCCACCCACATGTAGCGACTGAAATCATCGACTACAAGTAAGAAGTACAACTTACCACCTGGAGTTGGCGGTGTCACCGGGTCCGCAGAGATCTCCATGCACCCGGTTCAAGCCCTTTAGTGGCCCGATATGCGATTGCTTGTGGGAACGGCTTACGATGATGCTTTCCGAGAGCACGACCATCACAAACTTGTTCACTTCATTTGAATCAATGGTATGCCCTCCACCATCTTCTTTGAGCCTAGATCACGAGTGACCTAAAGTTTAGATGCCCGAACCGAGCATGCCACAACCATCCCGCTTCATCCATCTTTGATAATAAACAGATCGGGGATGTCGATTTATCGACATGACATACAAGCGATTCTTCCTTTCAGCTTTAATCAAGCAAGTTCAATCGCCTTTTCTCGCGCTCATATATCATCATCACGCCTCGTCGATTTCAACTCGACAATTGGCCTCCAGCATTGACCAAGACCGGACAATATTACATCGAAGCGAGGGTATGTAATATACATTAGTGAGAACACGGTGATCAGATTTTTCCGCGATAGTGACCGCCCCAATTCCATGATTTCCACCCTCGAGCCATCTCCAAATCGATGGCCTCCTCTCACCGAATCATCCAAGGAAGCGAGTGACTTCTAAGACCTCATCATATGGTTGGTTGCACCGGTATCGAGCACCCAGAACCTCGCATCATAGATGGATGGAAATACACGATCTTGATTCAGAACACACTGTTATTCTTCCCTCGACGCGGTGGTACGCACCACATTGCATACTTGAGCAACTAATAAAGGCTCCATTGTCCCCATCATTGTTCACATGGTGAGCCACCTCCCGCTTGTTCCCTTGCGCTTTCCGCCTTTGGGCACTCCCTTGCCAATGTCCATAGACCCCACACTTCCCCGCACTTTCCTCTTCTTTAGGCGTATCTAGAGAAGATTGTCCAGCGTCCCCGGCGCCATCTTTGTTGGAACGCTTCCAAAGGCTTCTTGTCATGGGCCCGATGACTACTACCTCCACCTTTAAAACTTGATCCGGATGAATCGACAATCATCCGACTTTTGTTACTGAGCAGCCCACTCTTCTTCCGTCAACAAGAGCTTCCCGCCTTCTCTCAGAATCTCCGATCAACAGATGGTTCGAGTCTCTCTCCTCACCGCCTCGAGATGCGCTACCAGATCTTCAATGGTGAGTGTCTTGAGATCTTTTACCATCTCAACAGCCACCGCCACCGAGAGTACTTTGCTGGTACCACACGTAGGAACTTCCTCACCATCCTTGCATCACCACGCTCTCCTCACCGAGACCGCGCAGATCAAGAACTCAGCTTGGTTATATGTAATGCAAAGTCGTCAATCGACTCTCCGGGTTTGAACGCCATGGACTCAAACTCGCCTAGGAGTTTCGTGCATTGACTTCTTCACACACGATCCGCCCCAAGACGCATGGTCTTGATTGCCTCCCAAGCTTCTTTCGCCGACTTCTTGTTGAGTAACATAGAGTGCATCTCTGTTGGCACGCCCCGGAGCATCGAACCCAACGCCAACCGATCTTGACGTCTATCTGCCTTCTCGCCTTTCTCTATGGCCTCCCATAGATTCAATCCTTCGAGATTGCACTGGATGTGAGACGCCCAACCCCGATAATTTGATCGGGTTAGCACCGCCACGTCAAGTTTGCGGTCGGAGTAAACGCGTCTTATCCACATCAGCTTTGTTGGTCGGACATTGCGATCAAGCTTCGATCCGCCTAGCTCCTTGTGTCTCGAGATGAACGGCTTGTTGCTGCTCCCTCTACAATCTCTCGCCACCACAGAACGCTCCCCCAAGCTCGATACCAATTGTTGGATCCTAACGACAGTTAGAACGTCGTGGAACGTCGTGCTTTCGCCGCATGACGTGGTGACCGCGCTTACCACTTAATGCAGATTGAAAGCCGAGAACACAAAATGATAGATTCGATATGAATTTGTTGCCCCCTCCGCAGCCTCCCATGTCATCTTTATTGATATATATATAGCCATGAGACTCCCACGCCGAAGTCGCACAGAACGGGACACCGTTTCCATTGCGATCCCCGTTACATGCGCCTAGAACGCCACGGCGTGAAGGATACAGACTCCGACTCAAGCTAGACATACCCAAGCATGACTTTGGCTACATCTAACTCCAATCACACTAGAACTCTACCAAGATGACATCCCGACCGACTAATACGAAATTACATGACTTATTTGCAACACTTATAGGCTAACAAATCACCCCCTAAGCTGTTGCACATCGGTGACACCAAGAGCAAATCAGTAGCTCAACAAACTTGATGACGACCAAGCGGTTTTGTGAAAATGTCCGCCAACCGACCCAAATTGCACCTTTCTACATGTTCAACTTCAACCCTGCCTTCCTCAATACACTCACGTATGAAGTGATACCTCGTGTCAATATGTTTACTACGATCATGATGGATCGGATTCCCGCTTAGTGCAATTTCTTCGACATGTTATCCATCAACAATCTTATCGGTGTCTCTTTTCGCTCCAAGTAGATCACCATGAGTCGGCTCAACCACACGCCTTTGACAAAGGCCGCCGCTGCTTGCCACATACTCCGCTTCACACGATGATAAAGCGACGATCTTTTGTTTCTGAGATTGCCAAGTTACCAAGCTACTGCCAAGAAAGTAGATCACACCAGTAGTGCTTTTCCTATCTTCGAATCTCCAAAAGAACATCGCCATCGAAACCTAGCAAGATCGGTTTCAGATTCAGTCCCTCTTTCATAGTCGCATCCATAGCCTCGTAGTGCCCTTAACATATCTCAACACTCGTTTGATGCTGACCCAATGAGCTTTTCCAGAGCTTCCATGTACCGCTCACCACTCCAACCGCATAAGCCGGATCTGGTCTCGTATTTACTGTGTACCTAAGACTTCCAATTATACTCTCAGATGTCGTCACATTCATAGCTTCGATTCCTTTCCTTTGTGAGTTTGAACCGAGGCTCCATTGGAGTGTCGATGAGTTACAAATGCTCCATACCGCATTCTCAAGTATCCCGACCGCATAAGTCGCTTGGCTCAATTTTATTCCTCCTTTTCCTCGCTTTACTTCAATTCCCAAGTAATAACTCGAGAAGACCGAGGTCACTCATGCTAAATTTCGCTTCATCTCTACCTTGAATTGATTAATGTCATCAATCTTTGGCCCTAAGATTATCGATCATCAACATACACACCCACAATGGTAAAGAATCCTTGCTACTTCTCTTATACACGGCATTATCCAGCTTACATCTAACAAAACCAAGGGTGATAGCTCTTTATCAAGCTTGAAATTCCATGCACGCTGGTGCTTGCCGCAAGCCATACAGTGCCTTCCTCAATCTCAACACCTTATCTCCTTTGCCAACAATAAAACCTGGAGGCTGATGTACAAAGACAGTTTCAGAGAGTTCTCCATTTAAAAACGCAGACTTAACATCCATATGATGCACCTCCCAACCACCATGTGCTGCTAGAGCCAATAGTACCCTCACTGTTTCTATTCTGGCAACAGGTGCGAAAACCTCGTCAAAATCCACACCATGGCGCTGTGCATAGCCCTTTGCGACCAACCTCGCCTTGTATTTCACAACATTGCCCTCAGGGTCCTTCTTCACCTTGAACACCCATTTGAGACCAATTGCTTTGTGATTCCTTGGAAGCTCACTGACTTCCCAAGTCCTGTTTGCCTCGATTGCTTGCATCTCGGCCTGCATTGCATCTCTCCAACAACTCTCTGATAGAGCATGTTCCACTGAGTTTGGTTCCTCAGCTGCTATGAGACACAAACCACTATACTCTAACTGAAAAGGTACAGTTGAGTCTAGTAAGTCCGGTATTTTGCGATACCGGAGTGGTACTCCCTCTGAATCTTCCTCAAGACCAGGGGTGGCGCGTTGCCCACCGAATTTGTGTCTCAGACATCGCTTTGCTTCGAAGTTCCCGGAGTGCCAAGAGATGGAGTTGGTGAACGGGGAGCGGGCGGCAAGAGAATCGCCTGCATGACCTCGATTACTGTCTGCATTATCTGAATCGGTGCATTATTATTCGAATCAGACGCATGATCGCCCGCCTATTGTCGGATCGACAACAGTAACTTCCTCAGGCCAACTAAACACTGCTTCTCTGATTCCTGTATATCTTCTGGTGCTGCATCAGTTCCACTCACCCCCCAAATCCAGCTCTTCTTCTCATCGAAGATAACATCCCTCGAAATCATAAGACGCGTTTCTTCACCGGATCATAAACCCGATAAGCTTTTGAGTGCTGTTCATACCCGAGAAAAATGCCCGGTGTTGTCCTATCTTCGAGCTTGGTCACACCTGGTCCAACCTTCTTTGCATAGGCCACGCAACCAAAGGTTTTTAGATGTCGCACACTAGGTTTCTTGCCATACCAAGCTTCATATGGAGTCACATTATTCAGGCTTTTAGTAGGTGCACGATTCAGCAAATACACGGCTACCATTACTGCTTCACCCCAAAAACGCCCGGCACACACGTTTGGACTTGAGCGGACATCGTGCCATCTCCACTACCGATCGATTTCTCCTCTCAACAACGCCATTTTTTGTGGTGTATAGGGTGCGAGTGGTATTGTGTTTTATGCCAAAAGTACGCAATAAATTGTAAACACGCCTCAATTAAATTCTCCTCCTCGGTCCGCTCAATGCCCTCGGCCCAGACAGATTCCATCTCTGCTTTGCACTGTATCTTCTTGAAACTCTCAAACGCTCGATCTTTCGTTCTCAAGAGCTCCACCCACATGTAGCGCATCGAAATCATCGACTACAAGTAAGAAGTACAACTTACCACCGGAGTTGGCGGTGTCTTTGGTCCGCAGAGATCTCCATGCACCAGTTCAAGCCCTTTAGTGGCCCGATATGCGATTGCTTGTGGGAACGGCTTACGATGATGCTTTCCGAGAGCACGGCCATCACAAACTTGTTCACTTATTTGAATCAATGGTATGCCCTCCACCATCTTCTTTGAGCCTAGATCACGTAGTGACCTAAAGTTTAGATGCCCGAACCGAGCATGCCACAACCATCCCGCTTCATCCATCTTTGATAATAACAGATCGGGATGTCGACGATCGACATGACATACAAGCGATTCTTCCTTTCAGCTTTAATCAAAGCAAGTTCAAGCGCCCTTTTTCTGCGCTCATATACCGTCATCACGCCTCGTCGATTTCAACTCGACAATTGGCCTCCTCCAGTTGACCAAGATCGACAATATTACATCGAAGCGAGGGTATGTAATATACATTAGTGAGAACACGGTGATCTGTATTTTTCCGGCGATAGTGACCGCCCCAATTCCTGATTTCCACCCTCGAGCCATCTCCAAATCGATGCTCCTCTCTTTGAATCATCCAAGGAAGCGAGTGACTCTCGGCACCTGTCATATGGTTGGTTGCACGGTATCGAGCACCTGTGAAACTGCATCATAGATGGATGGAAATACACGATCTTGATTCAGGAACACATCTGTTACTTTTCGACGCGGTGGTACGCACCACATTGCATACTTGAGCAACTAACGGTGCTCCATTGTCCCCATCATTGTTCACATGGTGAGCCACCACCCTGCTTGTTCCCTTGCGCTTTCCGCCTTTGGGCACTCCTTGCGCCAATGTCCATAGACCCCACACTTCCCAAGACTTTCCTCTTCTTTTAGGCGTATCTAGAGAAGATTGTCCAGCATCCCCGGCGCCATCTTTGTTGGAACGCGGTGCTTCTTGTCATGGGCACGATGACTACTACCTCCACCTTTAAAACTTGATCCGGATGAATCGACAATCATCCGACTTTTGTTCTGAGCAGCCCACTCTTCTTCCGTCAACAAGAGCTTCCCGGCCTTCTCAGAACTCCTGATCAACAGATGGTTCGAGTCTCTCCTCACCGCCCGAGATGCGCTACCAGATCTTCAATGGTGAGTGTCTTGAGATCTTTTACCATCTCAACAGCCACCGCCACGAGAGTACTTTCTTTGGTACCACACGTAGGAACTTCCTCACCATCCTTGCATCAGTCACGCTCTCCTCACCGAGACCGCGCAGATCAGTAACCAGCTTGGTTATGCGTAATGCAAAGTCGTCAATCGACTCTCCGGGTTTGAACGCCATGGACTCAAACTCGCCTAGGAGTTTCTGTGCATTGACTTCTTTCACACGATCCGCCCCAAGACGCATGGTCTTGATTGCCTCCCAAGCTTCTTTCGCCGACTTCTTGTTGAGTAACATAGAGTGCATCTCTGTTGGCACGCCCCGGAGCATCGAACCCAACGCCAACCGATCTTGACGTCTATCTGCCTTCTCGCCTTTCTCTATGGCCTCCCATAGATTCAATCCTTCGAGATTGCACTGGATGTGAGACGCCCAACCCTGATAATTTGATCGGGTTAGCACCGGCCACGTCAAGTTTGCGGTCGGAGTAAACGTCTTATCCACATCAGCTTTGCCGTCGGACATTGCGATCAAGCTTCGATCCGCCTAGCTCCTTGTGTCTCGAGATGAACGGCTTGTTGCTGCTCCCTCTACAATCTCTCGCCACCACAGAACGCTCCCCCAAGCTCTGATACCAATTGTTGGATCCTAACGACAGTTAGAACGTCGTGGAACGTCGTGCTCGCCGGCGACGTGGTGACCGCGCTTACCACTTAACAGATTGAAAAACAGAGAACACAAAACAGATAGATTCGATATGAATTTGCTGCACCCCCTCCGCAGCCTCCCATGTCATCTTTATTGATATATATATAGCCATGAGACTCCCACGCCGAGTCGCACAGGAACGGGACACCGTTTCCATTGCGATCCCCGTTACATGCGCCTAGAACGCCACGGCGTGAAGGATACAGACTCCGACTCAAGCTAGACATACCCAAGCATGACTTTGGCTACATCTAACTCCAATCACACTAGAACTCTACCAGTATGACATCCTGACCTGACTAATACGAAATTACATGACTTATTTGCAACACTTATAGGCTAACAGCTGCGGCCGAGCTCGGGAGGTATCGGGCCCTCGAAGCCGTTGATCCCGAGGCCGAGCTGACGCAGCGACGTCAGGTTGGCCAGCGACGCCGGGAGGCGGCCCGTGAGGGTGTTGTTGGTTAGCGCCAGCACCTCGAGCCGCGCCAGCGCGCCGCCGAGCTCGGCCGGGACGTGGCCGGTGAGCTTGTTGCTGGCGAGGCGCAGGACTGTCAGGCTGGTGCAGGCGGTGAGGTTGCCCGGGACCGCGCCGGACAAGGTGTTCACGCTGAGGTCGAGCGTCCGGAGGCGGCGCAGGCGGCCCAGGCTCGCGGGGATCTCGCCGCGCAGCCAGTTGGAGCTCAGGTTCAGCGCCCGCAGCGACGACAGGTTGCCGACGGCCGGCGAGAGCGTCCCGGCGAGCCCGAGGGAGGGCAGCCTCAGCGCCACCACACGTCCGCGGCGGCCGCAAGTGACGCCGTCCCAGGTGCACGGACTGGCGGCGACGCTGCCGTTCCACGACGCGAGCATAGCGCCGCGGTCGCCACTAGTGCTGCTGCTGCTGCTGCCTACGGCCGCGGCCTTGAAGGCGAGCAGAGCCGCGGTGTCCTCACTCTCGGCTCCCGCTGGCGCGAGCGCCAGGGGAAATGGGCACAGATGAGAAGGACAGCAGCAGCAGCAGGTGGAGGAGGAGCATGGTCGCTGGAGTGATCGCCATGGCAGGCCGCTGCTTTGGAGCTTGGAATGTAACAACAGCTACTACTTATAGCACGACGAAGATGCCAGATGATTGCCGTTGTGGTGACGACGCCATCGTTGAGTCTTCTCTTCGACTCGTGCTAGGCGGCCTCCGGCCGGCGGCGCCGCACGGCGAAGGATCGAGACAGGAGTGGACTTTTGCGACCAAAGCATGACCTGGAGCAGTGCATGTACGATGTACGTCACTTTCCGGCTGTGCCCCCGCCCATCGGACGAATGGACGGCGGACGCACATCCCCACTCTCGTCGCTCTCGCCAACGACAATGGTCACAGTCACTAACCCTGCCTCAGCCGTAACCCGTAAGTGCACGCCATGGCTTGTGTCACTGACACGGAGGTCCCTCGCCCCGTGGCCTGCATGTCATTGACCAGGTCACGGTAATTGGAATCCAGAGCCGCCGCACCATGCACCACGCCCCCAACCGAGTCACCGGTAGTGCCTGGCCTGTCAGCGTGCAGGACATTTTCTCCACCCGCTCCGGCTGCGTCGTGAAGGTGACTGCCTTTGTGTCTCCCCCACGGGGCCCTTTAGACTGTCTCCAACCATGGAGACCTAAATACGACACCCATTCACGATTTTGGGTTACGCACAGGAAAAAGTCACGCATCCATAAACTCAGCTCTCTCCAACAGCGACGCAAAAGGCAGAACCCATCCCGAAGCGACGGCGCGGCAGAGCCCACGCTCCGCACCTTGCACGACGGCGACGGCGCGGCGGCCAGGACCTCCTTCGCCACCAACGCCGACACAGCCTCATCGGTGACGGTGTCCACGGGGAATACGGCGCCGGCGGCGGAGTCCAAGCCATCAAGGCCGCTCCCCACCTCCACCAGCTCGTCGCAGCAGCCGACGAGGCCGAGTGCGTTGCTCCTGTCCTCCTCGCAGAGCAGCGTGGAGGAAGCACCGAGGCATACGATTCCCATCCTCAATCAATCAAAATCGCAGCAAACAACGGCCTCCTACTGCTAAAGTAGAAGTAGAACTAGTAGTACTACTTGGTACTGGAAGAACTCATCTCCTTGGTACTGATGTGAAGTAGAGGAGGAGGGATGGAGCAGGGCAGAGCACGGCGACGACGGCAGCCTCGACGCTCGGCTCCGGCGGTGCTTCGACACGGCGGCTTCGGGCGGAGCTGGCCTGGCAGCGGCGGGCTCTAGCAGGCCAGGACGGAGCTCCGCTGCGGGCGGCTGTGGCTGGAGCAGTGCATCTCCGAGCAGAGCACGACGGAGGACGGCGTCGGCGGCGCTCAGCCCGGTTCGGTGAGTGCGCGCGCGAGCTTGAGCTTGAGTTCCCGACGGCGGCAGCGGCCCAAGGCTACGCCGGCTCAGCTTGTGCTGCGGGGCGAGCGGTGGGCCGAGGTGGTGCTCCCAGGCGGCGGCCGCGTGTGCCGACAGGGAAGGGAAGCTCGGCCATTCCTCGCTTCCGCGGGCGAGCTCCACCGTCGCAGATTTGCGTAGCGAGGAGAGAGGCGACGCTTTTTTGCGTTTCCTTCGGCCTGCTACCCAGAATGTGTACCGTGGATGGGTCATCCGTTGGAACCGGTATCTGATAGGCAAATCTACTGTGCGCGACTTATTTTTGGGTTTAGGTGGCGTCGTTGGAGTCAGTCTTACCTCCTTAGCTTCGTGTCGATGTAATCCATCAGGAGTTGTACTCGTTCTCCCATGAATCAGAATCGCTTCGTCTACTCTATCATGTCCTAGAATGTCCGGGGCCTGGGACGCCAGGACAATCGTGCGATGCGGTGCGGGACACCATCTCCATCTCTCATCCCCACATCGTTTGCTTGCAGGAGTCCAAGCTCAACGTCATTGACTCCCACAAATGCAAATCCTTCCTTCCCCCCTACCTCACCGGCTTCGACTTCGTTCCCGCTGACGGATCCAGGGGGGCATCCTCAACGCCTGGGACACCGGGGTCGTCACGGCGGGCACCCTGACCCAGACCACCTACTCCATCATCATTCCGTTCACGTCCACTACCTCCGCTTAAACCTTCTCCATCACCAATGTCTACGCCCCCTCGGATCACAGGGACACGGACGCCTTCCTAGTGGATCTCGGCGCCATGTCGCCCCCAGTGGCACCAACTGGCTCCTCATTGGGGACTTCAACCTCACCCAATCCCCTGCGGACAAGAACAACGCTAACTTTGATCGAGATCGGCTGCAAGGTTTAACACGGCGATCGATAGCCTCGCCTCATCGAGGTCCCCTCCTAGACCGGCTGTACACCTGGTCTAATAAACGGGCTACACCAACCTTGGCCAGGCTGGACCGCGCCTTCATCAATGGGGGGTTCGCCCAACTCTTCCCCAACTCCAACCTCAACTCTCGCCTTGGCTCGACCTCGGACCACGTCCCTCTAATCCTCACAGCACCCACCTCCACACCCAAGTCCTTCGGCTTCCGCTTTGAAAACGCTTGGCTTAAACACCCCACCTTCCTCCCCTCCAGCCTCCTGGTCTGGTCTAGAGCTTTCGTGCCGTCGGACGCTACTGGCGGTCTGGTGGGGCGGATCAAGGCCCTTCGCCATGGCACCAAGGCCTGGTCTAAGACCCACCGCGCCCGCCCCGACGACTATAACAATGCTTCCTTTATTGTGTTGCTCTTGGACATCTATGAGGAGTCCATGGTACTGTCCACAGGTGAGCGGCGACCGCGTGAGCTATGCCAGGACCGGCTTGCCTTGCTCATTGCCCAGCGGGCTGCATACTGGAAGCAGCGAGGTAAATTCAGGGCCCTCTAAGAAGGCGACGCCAACACAAAGTTCTTCCACGCCAGGGCCTCCTACAGAGCACGCCGGAACGCCATCCACGCTCTGGAGGTGGACGGCGTGCAGCGGATCAGCCACGACGCCAAGATGGTCGTGCTCACCGCCTACTACACCAGCATCCTAGGCGGTGAGGTGGCCACGACCTGGAGCTACGACCTCGACCAGCTGTATGCCGGTGCCCAGCGCACCAACCCGACGCCGCTCATCGCCCCTTCTCCGAACAAGACGCATTCCGAGCGGTGCGCGCCATGTCGGTGGATAGTTCGCCCGGCCCTGATGGCATTGGGCCCGGCTTCTACTCGGCGGCCTGGGCGGCCGTCAAAGGCAACATCATGCCCATCTTGCAAGCCTTCCACCGTGGCGAGGCCGACCTTTAGCGCATCAACAGGGCAGTCATTGTCTTGATCCCAAGACGGAGGCAGCCACCTCGCCAGCCGCGTTTCGCCCGGTCTCGCTGCAAAACTGCCCTGTCAAGATCCTGACCAAGATCCTAACCTCTAGATTGCAGCTGTAGATCGCCAAGCTCATGGATACGGACCAGACTGGCTTCATCAAGGGGCGCTCCATCGCCGAGAATTTCGTCCTCACCACCGAGCTGGTCCAATGTTGCCACAAACGCCGAGCGCCTACTCTAGTGATCAAGCTAGACTTCGCGAAGGCCTTTGACTCGGTGAACTGGGAAAGCCTGCTCAAAATCTTGGAGGCGTGCGGCTTCCCTGACAAGTGGTGTGACTGGATGCGTCAGCTCCTGGTCACATCCAAATCCGCAGTGGTCCTGAACGGAGTCCCCGGGCCATGGATAACCTGCAAGAGAGGGCTTCGACAAGGGGACGCGCTGTCGCCGTACCTCTTCCTGCTCGTCACGGACGTCCTGCAAACCATGATCAAAGCAGACGTGACGATCAAGCACCCGCTGACCGATGGCACTGCCCCCGTGCTCCAGTACGCTAACGACACCATCATTCTCCTCCGCGCTGACATGGAGAGTGTCCAGCGCCTGAAGCTCGCCTTGGACAGCTTCTCGGCAAGCACAGGGCTGGTGATCAACTTCGGCAAGAGCATGACCACGCCGATGCACGTCCCCCTGACAACCTACAGTCCTTCATGCAAATTCTACAATGCAGAGAGGGGAAATTCCCCCAAACCTACCTGGGGCTCCCCCTCTCCAATGTCAAGCTGCCACTCTCGGCCTTCGCCCTGCTCATCGCCAAGGTGGACAGGTACCTCGCCAGCTGGAAAGCTCTCCTCCTGAGCACTGCCGGCAGGGTGTGCTGATCAACGCCGTGTTGGGAGGCCTGCCGACATATGCCATAGGCGCCATGGTGCTCCCGCCGGGTGTCATCAAAGCTCTAGACGCACGCCGGCGTGCGTTCCTATGGACGGGCACGGATACGACCTCCGGAGCACAATGCCTCATTGCCTGGGAGGACGTTTGCAAAGACAAGGAAGACGGCGGGTTGGGAATCAAGCGCATTGACACCCAGAACGCCTGCCTGTTGCTCAAACTTCTTCACCGACTCCACCGCTCGGACGGCTCAGCCTGGGGGCTCTGGGCCGCGGAGCACACCAACCTGGTGGACCTGAGCGGCGCGCTCCACGGCACGCACTGGGCGGCGCTCCGGGACCTGCTCCCAGCCTACCAGCAAATCACCAAGGTGTCGATCGGAGATGGGCGCAACACGGACTTCTGGAAAGACTCACGGCTGGCGATGCGCCGCCGGCGCCGGTTCCCAGCCCTCTTCACCACTACGCCGCCGCGCCCGCATACATGTGCGGCGACGTCGCGCGCGTGAGCTTGCACGGCTTGTTCCGGCGCCACTCACACCTCAAGCGTTGGTTGAGCTCGATCAACTCTCCGAAATGCTCCCGGAGGTCACGCTTAGCTTGAGGCGGACGGCGCTCGTCCTTCTTCGAAGACGGAGGGCACCGGCTCGGTCGGGCTCATCTACAAGGCCTCGACGCGGTGACCACGATCTGCGCCTCCTACAACTTCGCGTCTGGAAAAGCTTCGCCCGCCACGCGTCAAGTTCTTTGGATGGCTCATCACGAAGAGCAGGATACACTGCCATCAAGCCCTGGCCCGCAAGAACATCCTTGATGACGCAACATGTGAAATCTGCAAGGCGGCGGCAGACCACATCTTCTCTGAAGTTCATCCAAACCTTGTGGACAGCCATCGGATGGCTGCCAGGCAACATCGGCAAGGTCAACGAGTTCTGAAACCCCCCCGCTCTTGTGTTGGAAAAATTTGGAAACACAGGAATGATGTGGTCTTCCGTGGAATGCCACCCGACGTCGCCTGCCTCATCGCAGCTTGCAAGGAATCCATCAAGAACTGGAGCTGCCGCATCCCGAGAAAAGAAGAAGCAATGGCAACAGCTGGAGATTAGCACTTTGTATGTAATCTAAACACCCCTCTTCCAGAACTTGTAATCCCTGGATGTAAACTGTGCAAGGCTATGCCTTCCACCAACCAGGTTCCCCCTGGGTATCTGTGGAATGGAATGCACGTGGGGGATCCGTAATCCAGGGCAACAGTGCCGACCCGCGGGGCTCGCTTCAGCTGCAAGCAGCCTGGCCAAGTTATCTGTCATCTCGGAATGGTAATCATATTTCTACAGGAAAAAATTAAATTTATAAAACTACAACATGAAATTTACATCAATACATTTGTATTCAAAACTGCCTCTACGATAATATTGATTTTTTTAGCAAATGTAAACATATTGTAAGAAAAAGGGTCAAAAATCTGTTCTGATTGACCATGTAAGAAAAATTAAGCAAAGTTTTGCACAACTGTTACGAGAGATGCCTATGTATCAGCAGCCAGATAAGTAGCTCAACAGCTTCCTACTGCAGCAGCTGACAGCCGAGTTTTCCACAACACAACAATGGCCTTTTCTCCTTTGGAGCTGATGCCTGTATCAACTATGAACATGATGCAAAAACTAAAGAAAGGGGAGCTAAGTCATGATCTAAATGTTGCCTCCAACTAAATCATTAAGCCCCAAGCTTCAACCGATGAGCTGCGTGCGAACAAGGGGCTGCCACTAGTCCAAAGGTGAATCACTCTATGGAAGAACAGGAACTACAAAGCCGGTCAACATTTTTCTACGAAGCACAAAATTGGCCTGAAGAATCGTGACCACCAACAAAAAGGAGCAGGCTGCTCCGGAGACCCAGGTAAACCTGTAGCATGTAATCTATCTTGCTTTGGTTACAAGATCTCAGATCTTCATCATTACAATCTTTCTTGCACCTTCTTGTCGGCAGTCATGACCAAGGTGGATGGTCCTGTTCCCTAGTCTCTGGAGGGTGTGGCTTCCACCCTGGTTTCTCGTCCCAGTACATGTCATAATATATGTGACCAATTTCACGGAACTCTACACAGCACCATAGGCCCACATACCTCTTCACACGATTCCCGGAACTTCTTCTCCACAGCCTGGTTTCAGTAATTTGCGTCAAAGGTGGAAACTTTTATCCAGAAAATTAGGCAACATGTATAAGAGTATAACAGCTTACTGCATCAGCAAAACCACCGAAGGCATCAACCATAGATGAGAATTGTATGATTTTGACATCCTTATATGGTGACAGCAAATCCAACAGCTATTAAAAAAGGGAGAAAAGGCACAATTTCAGCATATGTACAAAGAACAGAGCAAAATTTCCTAGCTTCAAAATACAATAGTATTTCCGAGTTTGAATAAAATGTTATATTCCTCAGCTTAGACTGTTGTACTTTGGACTAAACTGAAACCACATCCTGCACGAAAGAAATAATAATTTACCTTTTCTTCAGTACTATTTCTTGGTAAAAGAAAGGGTCTGTGCTTATCGGTTTCATCAACTGCAGAGCATCTGGAGCTATGCTCATCACAGAGTTGAACATCGAGTAACGAATCTTTCACCTAATTGAACACTCCAAATCAAAACAATTAGGACACAAGCTCACATCTCTTGTTGCCAAGCATTCAAGGTGAAATATAAAAAAAAATAGCAAATCACTTGATATTACCTCTTTAGGTAATGATGGATTCTCAAGAAAGGAGTACTCTCTGAAATCAATATGTGGACCAAACTCTTCCTTGGGCAAGTCCTTTAGCATAACATGAACCTGTGCCATGACCCATGAAATTATAAGGAAATTTGATTCATAACTGATTTACAAATATCAGCTAACTATTCTCTTCAGACCCTCTATAAGGGCCATTTTGATTGGGCTCAAGGCCAAGTTTAAGAGGGGGTAGTAGAGGGGGGCGATATGGATTGGCAACGCCACTAACCAACTACAGAACCAACCCATGGGGTGAAGTGACCTGTTATTTGAAGCTAAGGTGGCAGTATGGATATCAGGTTTTATAGAAAAACAATAGCCTCTATTACAAAAGGAAAGTTTTCATTACAGAATTACCTCAAACACATGATCCATCGGGCAGAGAAAAGGTTGTCTGGTCATTGTTCCTTCTAAAATTCCAGGATGTCCAAACCACATTCTATCAAGCCTGCACCATAATGGAGGCATTACCTAAAAGTACAAACTGCAGTCAGAAAAGGGGCTTTAACATGTATGAACACAACAAAAAGCTAGATAATACTTCAAAAATCTTACTCCCTTCCATTCCAAATTATGTCGTTCTGGATTTTCTAGGTACATAGCTTTTTCTATGCACCTAGATATCCATTATGGTCTAGATACATAGTAAAATCTAGGTATCTAAAAAAGCCAGAATGACTTACAATTTGAAACGGAGGGAGTATCTACTACCTCCAAAAGCAGTAGAACCTAAAAAAATGATGATTCTGTCTTGTACTGAACTGTGAGCAAGCATTTAGTGTAAACAAATGTTAACATCTAATTTATCACCATAGTACTTCTAAGGCTCTACCTTGCTCATATGGAAATTTTGCTGGTAAACGGAATTGAGAAATTTGTATTAATTAAGGAGAGAGGCAGCGCACAATATCTCAAAAGGTAAGAACATAATAGTAATCTTTGAGATCAGGCAAGTAAGACTTTTAGAAAGAGACCAAATTAATTATGTCAATGGAACATGGGCAAATCAAGTTCAGTCAGATGCTTCCACCTGAAGGTATGTCCATTTACCCCCACAATCATGCAAGTGAATCATTTCAATTTAAACTAGAAAACAGCTGAACCGAAGGAAAACATGAAGCATGAAGAAAACAAGTATAGAAAAGAGACATTTCACCTACCAGTGTCCGCTTTAACAAGGACGCGACTGCAAGTGCAGTTCTTATTTGCTTCAGCTGAAAAGTTTCATGCAACTAATTAGATTAAAAGAACATGCAAACATTAATAATAGACATACAACCGGTAATTTGATCGAATATATATAGAAGAAGATACCTCATAATTAACCAACTCAAAATGAGATTCAACAGTATGAGCACCATCTAATAGCAAACTTTTTGGAATGTTAGGTTTAAATGACAGGAAACCTCCTGCAACAGGACAGTAAACTAAGTACAGAAACACTAATAAAATGGTAAAAAGAAGAAACTATAAGAGATTAAGAGTACTACTAGTACAGAGTCCATTTCTACTTTCAAGGCACTTGAATAAACCAGTCAGAATAAGCACGAATCTCTGCTCAAGACAGTAGAGTACAGTTTGCTTGTGACAGGTATAGACAGTGAATAGACCTGGAGAATCATAATAAGATGGTTGATCAAAGAAAAGCACTGCCTCTCGCAATCTATGGCGCTTTCCTTCAGTACCCGCATACTGAAAAGTAGTATGAACTGCGTATGGTTCCAAATGAAGCTGCTTATACATGCCCTGACAATCCAAAGAAAATAAACACAGAGCACCTTCAAATCAGTAGAGCACTATGAACACAACTAGCAAGGCGAAAAACTACCAAAATGCAAACAGAATGTCCAAAGAGCTACATGGACACTAAAATATAACGAGATACAACTATTATCTAACTAAAAAGTGTTTTCAAATGCAAAATTTCTAATTGGCAACCACAAACAAAGAAATACTCCTACCTGCACAAAATATGTATGGCCCGCTGCAAAATATACTTGCCGGTAGTACTCCCAGCTTCAGTTTCCCATCATAAGAATATACAAGATCACCTCCTTGAACTGGCTGTCCAAATTTTTGGCGTACAAGATCATTAAAAGCATTCTGGTCCCACAACTTATCATCAGATATGACTAAATCTTTCCAATCTTTTGCCAGCCTTTTAGCAGGTTCAGTGGGTCGCCAATGGAAAATACCAATGTTGAATGCACCAGTAACTGTGAATAAGATAGTAGAGATTGACTGTCATGTTATCAATTACATAGCATTGGAATCTTCAGTTATGTAGTTTTCAAGAAGACGATAAAATAATTCGCTCAAAACTTGGGAACCACCAAAGCATCCCTGCTTCAGTCAGGTAATTTAATAGAAACATAAGGAGATACAAGAGTGGAAGGGACATGCCTGAAAGATGAGGGTGAAGTACAGCATAATAAATTTGAGCATGAAATCATTTTGTTGGGCTATGGAGACTCGAGGGTACATATGACTAGGTCCATAAGGACCTCCAATACCTTTATGTTTAAAAATTCCTAGGGCAGAAAAAGATTGTAAAGATAGCTATCAATGGTCTAAATCTACCCAAAGAAAACACTGAATATAACTCATGCTTTCAGGAATTTGTTTGCCAAATTAAAATTTAATATTACAACATTGAGTAGAGGAACCAAAATATAAAAACATTTATAGTTATAGCATGCTTGAAATGTGTGCATCCATCACTCAATAATGCCAGCGAAACACAAGAGAATGCTGAGCTGCTTAGTTGTCTTCATGTACACAGGACTGCCAAGCAAGAGGGCATGTTCAATAAGGTCTACATTGCAGGTATTTGCTACATGATAATCATGCACATAGCACATATACTTCAGTACTTCACAAACTAGCTACATGAGTTGTACATTGCTGTCACTAGCGAAAATCTTTCTTCATTGACTGTAAACTTTCGAAAATGCTCAATGGTGTGTATTTGTACTTAAATGCAAGCTCATTTCAAACTTCCAAGACAAGCAGTACAAGGGAAATGGCTCATGCAGCTCTTCAACCTCCTAACATAATGTTCATTTCAGCTACAAATAAGATAAGACTTCTTTGGGTCTGATTACTATATTCAGGTGCATATCACACCATCTCTGTTGTCAACCTCAGGATTGAATAGAATATGATGCAATCTGTGCTTGATTACTACTGCTCGCAACAGAGATTGGCAACGAACACACTAGCAACTTAGTAGCAACCAGAAAGATTCAGAACCCACGTCATATGTGTGGTCAATAATTACCTTCCCTCCAGTTCTCCAGGCTGTCGTCGGTGACGGTGGGTATGACCTGATCGCTGGACGTGAGGAGATCCGCTTCGGGGTATCGGGCAAGGTAGGGCAATGGGTTCTTGAGCCACACCATGTCCGTGTCGCACATGAGCAGCTCGTACCCGAAAGGCAGGAGCGCGTTGATGAGCAGCACCTTCTCCCTGCCCATCTTGTGGAAGGTGGGGGAGCCCCACCCGGCGTCCTTGGTGGCCATCCTGCTGCCCATGTCGAAGACGGCACGCCCCGGAAGTAGAGCTCCCGGAGCAGCTTGGTGTCCATGGCGCCGACGAGGAGGTTGTCGACGCCGAGGTCGGTGAGGTGGCGCCCCCAGGTGAGGATGAAGTCGAGGAAGGCGTAGTTGCCGAAGGTGACGACGATGACGCCGTCGCGGGCGCGGGCGGCGACCATGTCGCGGGTGAGTCGGAACGCGCGCGGAGAGGGCATCCGCGCCCGCCGGGGCGGGGGCTTCCAGATGGGGCGGTTGTACATGGTCTCGGGCTGGGCGGGAGTGGGCGCGGAGAGGTTGGCCCCGGCGATGGCGGCGGCCGGGAGCGGGAGCGTGGGCGCGGAGAGCGAGGAGGAGGAGGAGAGCAGGAAGAAGAGCGCGGAGACCGCGAAGCCGCCGAGGACGGCGCCGTAGATCCCGACGAAGACCGGCTTGGTGGACTCGGCGGAGCACCACGCCGCCATTTCGCCGGCGGGGATCGGTGTCGCCGGAGCCGGAGGCGGGGTCAGCGAGCGGTGGGGGCCGAGGACATTCTGCGCAGGCAGTGAGGGGACAAGGACGGAGTGGGTCCCGCTGGGCGGTGGGTGCGCAGTGGGTCCGGTGCGACGGCAGGGTCGTCTCGTGCAGTGCACGGTATAGATGTGTGGCGTCCCGTTACGGGAAAGCTACGGACGCCTACACGGCTACACTCCCACACACTACACAGTGGGTCCCGCCTCCCGACGCTGCCGTGCGGTGCGGGTCAGATGAAGTGAATACTCGCAGGACAGCTAGGCAGGGGCTGCTGGGAGTGCTGGCACAGCAAGGAAACATTTTGCGACCATTTTGTTTTCTTTAAGGAACCATTTGTATTCTGTTTTAAACCAGTATCTGTGCTGTAAAATATTGACATAGGTGCCGTTCGCTGGTCCGGAAGTTTCAGACCAGCTGGCTGCTCCCCTCATATTTTACTGTTCACCAAACCAGCTAAACAGTGTTTCTCTCTCACACAGCCAGCTAGTTTCAGCCAACAGACCAGCGAACAGGGCTATATTATCTTAAAAGCGTTGTAGAAAAAGAAAAGAAAAATGTTCACATTTCCTCCTATTCTGAGGCCTTGTTTAGTTGGACCCCAAAGTCTAAAAAGTTGCTACAGTACCTGTCACATCGAATATTTGCGGCCCGTGCATGGAGCATTAAATGTAGACGAAAAGAAAAACTAATTGCACAGTTTGGTGGGAAATTGCGAGACGAACATTTTAAGACTAATTAGTCAATATTTGGACACTATTTACCAAATAAAAACAAAGGTACTACAATAGCCCTAAATTCCAAATTTCGCGAACTAAACAAGAGCTGAGAGTGATGTTAGACCCTCCGACCGAGTTTTTTTAGATTAGATTAGATGATGTGACGTGGTAAACGCTAGATGCTCGATGCGTATGCGTAGTGGATAAGCTGGTGTAGTTGTCACTTTCATCTTTCAATTTGGTTCTCGCAAATGTTTACACACCTACATGTTGATGTATGCCTGTCCGGCTGGACTACTCCCCAGCCGCAACTGCTTGTCCATCGGTTATCGCTGCATTGTTTTGCAACAGGAAAGACAGAAGTAGCATGACGTGGGTGTGTAAACATTTGCTCAGCAATACCAGCTGGACAGGCATACCTCAACATGTAGGTGTGTAAACATCTGCGAGAGCCAAATTGAAAGATTAAGTGACGGAAGACCAGGGGAAAACTTATGAAGTTTGTATTATCTATATCTATAACTAATATTACATAGCGAAAATTTGTTTATTTTGTTTTCCACTCTCTTTCGTTTATCTATCACTCATTTCTCTTTCACCCATCAGTTCGTTGCTCTTTACTCTTGTACTTTTTTTTTGTCCTTCATTCTCACCATTTTCTCATCCTCTGAATCTGGTCTTATCACTTCTTCGTGGTACCGTCCATTACTCCCATCCTTCTCGCTTTTAAGTTTAGAGCTACAAAACATTTTTTTTTGCACCGAACCACTCATGTCATGGCTTAGATACCCGAGCACATTTGCGTCACAACATGTGTGCGGACGTGTGTCTCGCTTTCTGTTTATTGAACTCACAACATGTGCGCGCATATGTCCACCTATTTAAATTGACTTGAGGCCCCGTTTGGCAACTAGAAACATTTTGGATTCCTGTGAGAATTGGTAGAATCACTGCCAAACGGGTTAGATGAGAAACGTTTCACTCGAGAATCACTAGAAACGTTTCTTGTTTTTATGCCTAGCAAGGAGAAACGTCTGTTGACTCTGGTTTCGCGTGATTCTGATTATTGCCCCCTTCTGTATTAGCAACCATAATTTTTCTAGTTAGTTCCTTTTAAGTGAAATAGGTTAAAATATATTGTATTTTAGTTGTTCTTCGCCTAAAAAAAAGTTCTAATTTTTTTGGAAGAATATTTATATTTATATGATTTTTTATAAAAAATATATTTTTTAATTAGAATTCAACCTATTAGCCAAACGATTTCACAAAGTAATTCTCATTCATCACAAAAAATGTTTTTTTTAGAGAATCTGTATCCTCAGTGATAGTGTGTCTTTGATCCATGTAGATACACTGTTTTTGCCCCGCACATAGAACCACGTGTGAGAACTTGCCACGACGTATCCAAATGTGAAGATCCTCCGTTTCGAAGTCGACTTGAGAAATGATCGCTTGGATTTCATGGTCAGTAGTACCTGTCACACTAGCGATTTCAGGACTTTGCTTCTCCTGTCTGTAACATTAGCATTACGATCTCAGCCACAGAGCTTTTGCAGAAGAACTTTTGGAATATACTAGGTCATGTTTAGATTGCAAATTTTTGTAATATGGACACTGTAGCACGTTTCGTTTGTATTTGATAAACTTTATCCGATTATGGACTAACTAGACTCAAAAGATTCGTCTCGTGATTTACAACAAAACTGTGCAATTAGTTACTTTTTTTACCTACATTTAATGCTCCATGCATGTGTCTAAAAATTAATGTGATGGAGAGAGAGTGAAAAAACTTGGAACTTTGATGTCATCTAAACAAGGCCCTAGTATGAAACACCAAACGAAGATTACATTGGTCGATGCATACTGTAGGTTTATCTCTACAACTAAAACATCCATAACTATTCCGTAACAATCATGGGGTGATCAGATTAGGAAGGCAACGCGCACTTGCTCCATGCGATCAGCTCAATCCCCATAACAGCCGCAGCAAATTAGGAAAGCAAATATCAATTCCCGTAACAATCGTGATCAATTCCACGATCACCCCACGCCGCCAATCACGCGAGACCGCCGGCGCCACACCGCACCGCGACCTCCACGGCACTCTGCGATCGCGACGACGACGCGTCCTCACCTCCTCGTGCCTAGCCCCGCGCCACCTTTCGCCATCGCACACGCAGTCCGTCGATCAACGCCATCGTTCAATCGCGCCCTATCCGCGTCTTGCCCCCGTCGGCCCGTCTTGTTTTGTCGCCTCGCCGACGCCGCCGGAGTGCCCGTCACCTTCTCCGCCTGCCCGCCACGACGGCGTACCACATCCACGACGCCAAGCTAGCGATAAGCACCCACCGTGTACGTCACCGGGACCCTATATCCCCATACATCTTCACTTCCGGCTATGCTAAACGAAACACCCAAACATAAAATCCTAACAAAGACGCGTGGGCGAAGACGACCACGGCTAATCCTATGTAACACACGGACGACGACAACCAGCGGAGCCATCGCCGAATCGCCCGCTCAAGTCTTCGTGGGCGCGCCCTCCCCATCGACGCCGCTTTGCTTATGCCGTCAAGGCTCAGTCTCCACCGCCGCTGACACACGCCAGGCACGCGGAATCAGGACGTCGCTCCAATGTCCGTTGTCGCCACCTGCAGTCTACGGAGCCTGCAATAGATCGGTGATCATGGTGAGCGGCTGAGCTCCTTAGCATGAACCACCAGCCCACCACTACCAGCTGAAGCAGCACAAGCATCACGCTCGTGAACTCCTGCGCCGCACCGCCATTGCCAGGCGTGAGCTCGCTCCGGGAACAGCCAGTCCCCGCCTTGCTCCTCCGCCCTTGGTAAGCCGTAGGTGAGCTTCCCCGCACCCCTGCGCTCCTTCTCCACGCGCGCGCGCCAGGCATACTGCGCAACCGCAAGCTCGCGTTGCTGGGAAATGGCCGCCGAGCACCGGTCGTGCTCTGTTCCGTGCTCTGCTTTGCACGAGCGTTCCTAGCTTATTAGCTTCCACACTTTCTTGCCGTTTTTCTTCAAAAGAATAAAAGAGGAAATACATTGAAAATACAAGGACCCATACCCTTCGTCATGGACTCATTCCATGGTGGACCGCTCACACACCACACCGTCAATCCATAGTTCATAGACCTGTCAGTGTTTTGTTTTTTATGTGGACATTCTAATAAACATCATTTTAGTTATTGATAATTTTCTGAGGATGTTTATAAAACTAGAATAGTCTCCCTTTACATGATCGGTTATCGAGACCATAATGTTTATAATTACATTTTTCATTACACCATGGTCAACTATTCAACTGGAAGCTAAATGTGCTCCTTTTCTTTTTTTTCTATCTCTGCAATATGGCAATGCTTTAGATTTAGTGCATTTTGGATAGTTCAGAGTGAGCTCATTTGTTTGAACAAGAATATATGTCGTACTATTTGAGTAATTTGCAGTGAGTTTTTTTTTGTTTTAGTCCATCCATTTTGGTTGGAATTTTGAGTTTTTTGCACTGCCTGTTGATCGCCAATTCAGTCCTCATCCTGCCATGCAAACCAACTGCAGCTTGGTATTCGTGCAAACCACGTTCTCTTAGTCGAACTATTGAGAGATTAGATTCTTAATTGTAGAATAGATTTTAAAACATGTATCGTAAAACACAAACTTGTTATGATTATCTTTCCGTAGCACTTGATTCCTAAAGAAGTGTAAGTTTATCTTTCGCGTATCGTAGGTATGAAGTGATGCGACAATTGAAGTTGATGTTTTAGTTTTACATTCAAATTTAGAGTTATATTTTATCTATCTATCTTTCATGAAGACTTATGTAATATTGATTGTAACATTATGATTGTGGTATCTATTTTAGATAATAGTATAACACACGCTCATACATATGTTATCGTGGTATTATGTGTTCCCGTTGCAACGCACGAATATTTTTCTAGTAAATAATAAATGTTTGTATTGTTTTTTGCCAATACATTAATCGATCCAGTAGCACGACTGCACGACAGCACGAGCTGGGGAGGATTGAGGAGCAGCGGAGGAAGAGGGCCCAGCCATGCGGTTTTGGCGATTTCGATCGGAAGGGTGGGCCGGAGGCCGGATGGTTTCCGGCCGTTGGGCTGAAAGATCCATCTGAAATCGGGTACGTTTGCATTCTTTCTGCCCTGTTTGTATTTTTCTTTTTTTTTCTTTTAGTTAACCCTCGGTAGACGTTTTCTCAAA